GTTACTAGTACTGAGTGTGCAAAGCAATTGCTCTGGTAGAAACTCATTAGTCACTTGCAACAATTCCACTTTACTGGGATTATGGGACTAGGGTGACTGTAGTCATTTGAGTAAAAAGATGTGACTATAGAAACTCCATCTTAGTTTCTTTGTTACTGTCCCTATGAAGAGAGAACTGCATGACCCATTTCTAGGAAACAGAAACTAAAGCTGTTTTCTTATTTAAAAATTTGTCTTTCTGTACTTTGTACCCCACAAATTGTACCATACTCAGGATGCAGCGGTGGTCATGGTGAGCTACATCCTGGGTTTGACTGCCCTAGTGGGTCTACATGATTTTGAAGTAGATTCTCACCCCACCAACCCCTGCCCAAATTCAGGATATGACTGTCTAGCACCTGCTTGAACCCTGGGACTGTGGTCAACTGAACTGCAAAGCTAATGCTTTTTTAGCTTCTGTTTATTGCTTGCTTGCTGACTGAAAAATTCCAGTCCTGCCTAGAGCCCACAGGTCCCACTTATTAATGTTTTAATTTCTGTGATTGGCTAGTGTTTTTTTGTTCTTATATTCTCCTTAGATGGACCAGGAAGCTGTTGTCCTCCCACAAAGCTTGAGTCTCTATGGTGGGTGACAGTCCCTGGCCAGGTAAATAAAGCTTTATTTGATTTGAAATTCAGACTTTTAGTGCTTTCTGGAGCAGCTCTCCATAACAGTAGCAATGCAGGTGAGGTGAGGCAATGTTTTAATGAGTGGCTCAGGAAAGGTTTCAATAGGAAAAGAGTCACCTGCCTGTGTGACCATTTTACCTCTCTTACCAGATCCTCAGAATAAAAACAGAAATATTTAACACAAACGTCCTTTTTAAAACCCTGCAGTCTGATGTATAATAGAATCCCTGTGTTTCAATTTAAAGGGTAACTTATCTATAGCTCTTCTTACCCATGTATTCTAGATTAGTTTTCCTGTCTCCAATTTCCAGATTATCTTTTCCACTTGATGTCAGAATCATTCTTGTAAAAAGATTTTACTCATGTCACTTTTTGCTTAAAAAACATTTTTGTTTCCTTTTTGGTTTCAAGGTCCATTATAAATGAGCCTAGCTACTTTATCAGACTCAACCTTAACACCAGACTAACTTGAAAACATACTACCCATTGCTCTCAGCTACAATAACTTTTTTTCCTGTACCCTCTATTCATCTGGAACAGAATTTATTGAAAAATGTGCAAAGAATTGTGCTAAGTGTGGGAGAATATTACATAATTCCTTGAAGAATTATTCTCTGAGGGTAACCAATTGTAATGTCATATGAAAGTGCTTAGACACTTAAAGTACAAGGAGGGTTACTGACCAGCGGATTGATTGCAGCCTTAGAAATCTACTGCCATATTGCCCAGAGACTTCTCTTCCCACAGGGTGCTCTCAGCCAATGATGGAGTATGATAGGGATAAAGCAGACCTGTTCCTGGGAAACAGAATTCTTCTAGCAGTCAACTCTGACTCCACATGTACTTAACAGCCTTGTCTGAACATTCTCAGTCTTTCTTCTTCCTTGAGAGTCAAACTCTTCCATCACAGTGTGACCTCTCTCCTGTCCTTTCCTGACCCTTTCCACATTTTTCTCTCAAGTGTTTCTTCTAATAAAATCCTTATACCATTAATCTTATCTCATTAATCTTATCTGCTTTTTGGAGAAACAAAACTAACATTTAAATATTTAAGCAATGTAATAAGCACTGAGAGAGGTATTAAGCAAATTGTCACCAAATATTTGCTGACTTTCGAGTATATACCAGGTACTGATGGGCTCTGAAAATATAATTGTTTCTGTCTTCCTGGACTTAGTCTATGGGGAATAGACCAGTACTTAGGCAATGACAATGTGGCATTATATGTGTGACAGCAGAGAAAACACAAGTTATGGGAGCACATAGGATGGTATACACTTGAAGAATTGGGGTGAACTTCCTGGAAAAGGGGATTATCATTTCAAGTGATGAACAAAAGTAAATGTGAGCTAGCCAAGCAAGGGGCACAGAGAGCATTCCATGTAGAGAGAATTCTGAGCAAATGAAGAAGCTCAGCCAGTGTGGGATATAGTTTTGTGGAAGAGGAGTGGTAAAGATGAAGCAGGAGAGGTATGCAAAAGGCCAGAACAGGTAAGATCTTGTGGATCATATTAAGGATTTTGGATTTTATCCCATGGCAAATGCAAGGTAAAGTGGATGGATTCAACTAAGTGTGTAAGAAAAAGAGTGACATGACCTGATTTGTGTAATGGACAGAACACTTACCTGCCCCAGGGGAAAGGATTGAGTGCTGAAGTTGGGGTGATGGTAACTGGGCATGGGTCAAGACTGGAATAGAAAATAGCTCAGGCAAAAGAACATGCTGACTTGGATTAGAGATTGTTAAAGAGGATGCTGAGATGTAGGTAGAAATAGTTAGGAGTTAAAATAAACAGGCTTGGAGATTGGATGGATTAGGAGGAATCCAGAACGACAGGGCCTAAAACATAGTAGGCATTCAATGAATATTTATTGAATAAATGAATGCAAAATCCCTGGTTGAAAAGATAATGGTGCTAAGTCAAAAGATAAAGAACATTGATTCCACCATCCACCCAGTTACCCTAGTTTGAATGGGGTGATGATGGCAGTCCCAATTTGAACATGTTGAAATCAAGATGCCTGTGTTAAAATGAATGGAAATGTCCACAGATTAGTGGATGTATGTGTCAACATCTGAAGATAAAAATATGGCCTGGAAATAAAGATTTAGGAAGTTGATAGTAATTAAATTAGTATGAATGAGACTACCTAGAACAGTGAAAAGTAGGGATCACAATTTGTTAATGAGTATTAAAAAATCAATTTAGTGGACTGCAACCAGCAATTTAAGAAATGGAACAGAATAAAATGCAACACAATAGAAAACACTAGAATTTAGTTCCTGATGGAAAACATGATGGAAGTATGATTTTGTGAAAAATTCATTTCAGTAATGTTATGAATATATATACTTAAATGTGATTAGGTTGCAATATAAAATGAACTTTTGTGTGTTGCTATAAAATTTGAAAAAAAAAAGATTTTTGGAAAAAAATCAAAAGACTGAAAAATCAACACCTAACTCATTGTCAAAAAAGGAACTAAGTCCTCTAATAGATTGTTGTAGAGCACCTAAAGAGAGGTATATACTAGTGCCAGAGGAAGAAACTCAAGGAAGGTCCCCATGTGTTAAGGTTTGCATTAGGAAAGGTTTCAGAAAGATCTAAGGTACTAATATTAAGAATATGATTTTTTAGAATAAGCAATTTGCATTCAAGAACCATGTCTTATATCTCTAGTATCTATCAAAATGTTTACTACATAATAGACCCTCAAACTTTCAAATGAATAAACTAAAACTTGTGCTTTAGGAAGATTATTCTGACAGAAATCTGGAAGGGGAGAGAATGGAGAAAAGGTTGTTTTTTACTTTTCACAAGTTTTAGTTTATTTTTAATTGATACATAATTGTTCAAGTTTGTGGAGTGTAATGTGGTGTTTTGACACATGTATACAGTGTATAATGATCAAATCAGAGCAAATAGCATCTTAAAATGAAACTATTTCACAGTCCAGGTGAATGATGATGAAGTCCTAAATGATAAATGATAATGGAAGGAAAAGGACAGATTTATTTATAATCAGAATTACCAAGATATGGGGCTGCATACATATGGGTGTGGTAGCCAGTCTCCATGGCTGAAATCCTCATATTCACCCTTGTAAAGTCCCCCTCCCATGGTACATCAGGGGTGATCTGTGTGACCAACTGAATATGGCAGAAGCAATCACATATTAATTACTTCTGAGGCTACGTCATAAAATACAGTGTGGTTTTTTTCTTGCTTTTTTTGATCACTTGCTTTGAGGAAGCCATCTCATGTTGTGAGGACATTCAAGCAAACCCACAAAATCTATGTGAAGAACAACTGCCAACATCCAGCACCAATTTGCCAAGCATGGAAGTAAGCCATCTTGGAAGTGGATCTCCAGCCCCAGTGAGGCCTTTAAATGACTGCAGCCCCATCTGCAGAGATAAATATTTGTTTTTGTTTAAAGCTACCAAATCCTGAAAGTGAATTTGTTACATTTGTTATGCAGCCTAGATAACTAATGCAAAGGGGATGAAAGGAGGAAGCAATAAATACTATAAATTAGAGGCTATAAGTTAAAGACTAAGTGCTTGAAGGAGGAACTGGGATTAGGATGTAGGGGATAGTAAGTTATGGTCAGGACCTGTATTTGCCTTGTATGTAGGATATCCAAGTGAGCAGTTTTTGTCCCTCAATCTCAAAGTTCTACTCGTTTTTGAAGGCTCAGTTCAAATGTCACCTCTTCTGTAAAACCTTTCTGCTTTTCTCTGGCAAAAAAATCTACATCCCCTTTGGGGCACCTTACTACAGCAAACATGCATAATTTTGTATTGCAATTACCTATTTTCCGTTGTTTGTTTACATTTGGGAGCTCCATTACGATCCTGAGCTAGTTAAGGATAAGGACTGTGATTTTTAGTGGTGTGTGTGTGTGTGTGTGTGTGTGTGTGTGTGTGTGTGTCGCTGTATCTCTGTTGGTGATTGTGTAATAATTCTGAGGAACTTGATGGTTGTATCCATTTACCCATGTATTTTCCCTACAGTTATGGACATTTGGGTTTGTGGAGTGACTGGAGCAAACTCGCTACCGGAGGTCCTGAAGTGACACCTCCAGCCTGCTTCAGAGGTAGAACTCCCACCTATACCTGGGTCTGGCTTCACCTCTGCCTGGGATGAACCTCTCCTCCTCAGTCCCTCCTCTACTCAATTCCGATTGGCTGGAGAAAGGAAAACGGCCCGACATTGGTTCCTTTTAGATGGGCGGGGCCGGGCTGGGTTTCGTCTCGCGCCTCAGGCCGAGCCGCGCCGAGAGGACCCGAGTGAGGCCGAGACCAGCGGCCCAGTGGCCCGGAGCCGAGGCGGCTGGACGCGCCCCACCCTGCAGCCAGGCGGAGCCAAAGATGCTGGCCTCTGCCTCGCGGCCCCGCCCGGGCCCAGGGCCACCTCGGGTCTTACCCTTGCCACTGTTCCTGCTGGCGGTGTTGAGCGGCACCGTGTCCGGCCGCGTCTCACGCTCTGTGCCCAGGACCTCGCTTCCCATCTCTGGTAAGGTGCGGACGCCTTCGTCCTCAGCCCTTTGCGCCGCGCGCAGCCCTCGCCCGCACTTGTTCACACCCACCCGCTTCCTATCCTGGAGAGCAGCACCACAGCCCCCTCAACGCCTTGCACCGTGCCCCCCGCAGCGCCTAAGCCCCTCAGGGACCCAGACAAGACCCCGGCACTCTGCTGTTTCACCCTAGCCCTAGCCCGGGCCTCGCGCCTCGGCATCCACGACACACCCAGGTTGCTCCCTCAGACCTTTATTTCCAGGACCGCTAGATAGGTCAATCCCTTACCATGCAGAGGAGGATACTGAGGCCCTAGGTGGGCTTGGGAGTTGATCGGGGTTGTCCATTTAGAAGTTCTTTCTCCCTTATTCCCCTAGTCCCCCGTACCTATACCTGTGTCGAACACTCCAGTTTGAAGCCCATTCCATTCCCAGGCCTTTCATTCTTTCATACTAATTCAACCACTCCCTGGATCCCCAGCTCAGCATTTACATCTTCTGAACTTCATTTCCCTATGATCAGTTCAATGCACCCTCTGCTATCAAGCCTCTTACCCAGCTCACCACCTCAGTCTTCCAAACTCAGTCCCTTCTCATCTCTGACACTTGCTCCCATTTTCCCATGAATCAGATTCACTTTAACCCCCTAACTCCCTGAACCTTCTGTGCTCCCTCTGGTCATTCCCTGCATCGACTGTTGGAAACCATTTTATCAGTTGACAATAAAGTTTTGCTTAAATGATTTTGGAAGTCTTCAGAAGGAAAAAAGGACCAGGTCCTTGGAAAAGATGTGAAAGAAGCCAGGGGATGGATACCACAAGGTTAAAAGTGGTCATTCACATTTTAGAGACTCTGTTGAGGTGGGCATGAGTGTGGTATGGACCTTTGTTTTCTTCTTAGTGGGTATGGAGGCAGACAGAACCAGTAAAACCAAGAGTACCCTTGGCAAAAGCTTACAACTGGGTAACAGTAATTTAGAGTCTAAACTCAGGTCAGAAACATATAGGGATGCTTGAATCTCCAGGGCAAAGTTGTGGTCAGAGCCTGGGGTTTCAGTTTGTGCTGGAACAATAGTAAAAAGTAAGTTGAGGTTGCCAGGCTGAATTGATGTCCAGAAATCCAGAGATGTCTAGAAGGCAAGGTGAAGCAGAGCAGGGAAAACAAAGGAGGTTGGGTAATTCAGAACTTATACTAAGCATGAGAGAGCAGGAAGAATACAGCACAGAAATAAGCACCAGTGGAACAGTGGATGGGTGGGGCTCACCTCAGCAATGAATGGGTTGATGGCTAGTTATCACCATGAGGACACTCGACCAGCTGAAACTTATAGAGCAGAGTTGTATAGGGATAGGATCCTCAGAATTAGATTAAGCTAAAAAGGTAAACACATATGAAGTTATTTTTAAAATGAGTTTTGAATGCTGAAAGGGGTTAGATTTGGCCAAAGCAGAATGCAGCCATAAAGAAGAGAGGGACTATTTGTTAAATGTGTAGTACATGCCAGGTGCTTCCACATATGTTATCTCACATAATTCTCTCAACAATCCTGGATGGGGGCTGGGGCTGTAGCTCAGTGGCAGAGAACTTGCCTAGCATGTGTGAGGCACTGGGTTCGATCCTCAGCACCACATAAAAGTGAAACAAATACAATAAAGGCATTCTGTCCACCTACAACTACAAAAAAATTTAAAAAAAAATCCTGGATGGTGTTGTTTACAGATGAGGAAAATGATGCTCAGAAAGGGCAAGTAATGTATTCAGGATTATATAGTAAGTGGAAGAGCCACATTTAAATCCAAACTGGTCCATTTCTGAAACACATATCTTTTCCCACTACACTAAACTACACCTTTTTAAGTGAAATGGGGTGAGGGAAGGTCAAGGAAGGTGGCTGAGAGAGGAGGTAGACTCCGAATGTATTGGTAAAAGAGTAAAACATTTATAAGTAAAAAGTAGTTACTATTAAGCAGGATTCAAAAATAAAACCCCACAATTTAGAATAGTACTTATACCTTTTTAGGTATATTTTCTTAGGGATCACATTGATATGAATAGAAATCACAGACTTAATATTTATGCTGTTATTTATATTTTTATGGAAAAAGCATACTTGACTGGATTGCTTGCTAAATATTCTGACATCATCAGTTGTCTTGGGGTAGTGTAGATGGTCGACCTGTCAAGGTGCTGTTTTTTCCCTGATTGCTGCCATATAAATGATATTTTGGAAGAAAACAAAAATTGGCCTTTCGGCTTTGCTGTAGTAGATCCAACCCTTACGAAGCAATAGCTGATATCATTCTTCCCTTTCCCCTTCCCTTTCTGCAGAGGCTGACTCCTATCTCACCCGGTTTGCTGTTCCTCATATATACAATTACTCTGTTCTGCTTGTGGATCCTGCTTCCCACACACTTTATGTTGGCGCCCGGGACACCATCTTCGCTTTATCCCTGCCTTTCTCAGGGGAAAGATCTCGCAGGGTGAGTGATGAGAGTGGGGAGGTCCCCATGCCCTATAGCATGTGGTTAGAGCCATAGTTTTATGGAATGTGGGTGGGGGAGTTTTATAATAACTCAAGATGTAACAGTGGTGATACTAGAAGGGAGGGATTATCCACTATCTTAGCCAAGTGATAGGGATAGGGTTGTGATGTCTAGGGAGACTATGGGAGAGATTCAGGGTGATGGGGAGGAGGCTACAGTGTCTGGGAAACAGTGTTTTAGGGAAACAGCTTCCAAACTTTTTTTGTCACACATTAGTACTATATTGTTACCGGTACACAAGTGTGTACTTAAAGAAACTTTCCTTGAAATAGTATTGGCTCTTCTATATGTGTGATACATTGGATAGATTCTATTTCATTAAAACAATGTTGGTTGTGATTTCACAATTGATTACTTACTAATGGGTGGGAATCTTCCATTAATAAATTGAAAAACAGTGCTCTAGGAGATGTCAGAAGTTCACAAATTGATGGAGGTTGTCAAACTGATCTCAAGGGAGTTTGGGGTGGGGGACCTGGGGAAAATGGTCACTACTCCTTTCTCAGATTGACTGGATGGTGCCTGAGGCTCACAGACATAACTGTAGGAAGAAAGGCAAGAAAGAGGTAGGTGTAACTAAATTCAGGCTCTGTCTTGAGAGTCCTTGAGAACTTGGTCCATCCCTGAGTTGGTGTCAGTCCCCTGGAGTTCTCTCATCCCAGGCAGGGATGCTGATACCATCACCCGTCATCCCTGATCCCCAAATTGCATCTAACTGTCTTGATCCTACCCTACCCTTCCTTGTACCTGCTGCTTCTGATTCTAACCATCTCTAACCCCCAGGACGAATGTCACAATTTTATCCAGATTCTCGCCATTGTCAATGCCTCTCATCTCCTCACTTGTGGCACCTTCGCTTTTGATCCGAAGTGCGGGGTTATTGTGAGTGCCAGGGGTGGGAGGAGAGGGAGAGGGAGCCTGCACCAATGTGAGTTATGTCGGGGTGGTGGGTAGGAGGATGGGAAGCGTTTTCTGTGAGTGACCAAGTGGGGCATGGTTAAAACAAATACTGTGCATGATAAGCATTGGGATAAGGGGTGTCCTCACAGGGTGGAGCCTGTGTCAGATACTGAGGGATGGTAAAAAAAGAAGGGAGACAGGGAAGTTTTCTGTAGAGGGTGAGGTATGAGATGCAGTGAGATGGTAAATGAAGTTAGGGATGCTGGCTGGGCTTGGGAGAGGCCAGATCCAAGAGAGCCTTTAGAAAGCAGAAAATTAGGTTTCTGTTTCCCTATGAATACTTTGGCCAGGCACCTTGGGCCTGTTTCTTAATCAGTGTAGCCCATGCCTCCTTCTTCCTTCTATAGCATGTGATTGTTTCTCGCCCCCTTCCCTTCCCTCCACTGTCAACCTCATTCTGTGTAGGCTATGACTTTCAGCTCTTATACCTTCTGATGTCACTGCCCACTAATGTGATGCCCAGTACTCTGGCCTTCAGGGTGGATACTCTGTCAACCACCTTTTCTTCTGGATCCTGTTCATTGCTGCTGAAAACCTGGGCTTCATTACCCTCAATCCTAGGCAATCTTGGGACACATGAACACCCAATGACATCTAGTCTAGACACCGCCCTGTTCCTGGGATGGTGATTGTTTTGAACTTTCAGCTTTCTACATCAGTTAAACATTGTTAGCACAGTCCTCTAGCACCACACATTTGTGCCTAGGTCTTAGGTGAGTAAAAAACCTCACATGTCTTTTGTATTCTATTTAGTACAACAGCTCCCTTTCTTGATCCTGATCCTTAACTATGGATCTTAACTGCCCTGTTCTGTAGTTTGCTTTGATCCAGTAATCCACCTGGATCAAGTCAGTATGTATTTCCAAATGCCTCTTTGTTACAGACCAGCCTCATATCTTGGGGTTAGAATGTTATAATTGCATATGCTTCAAGTTTCAGTCCCTCTGGTTACCCTTGGAGTTAGTTGAACTTTTAAGTTCTTTCACATAAAGCAGCTGATGGGTTCCTTACAAAGGTCTGGATAGTTCTCTCATCCTGGGAAGGTTTCTTATTTCAGGTTGATGTTGAAAATCTTTACACCCCATTAGGTAATATTGAGGGTCTACTTTCCTTCAGTTCTCATCAAGCTTGAAGTAGTAGTAGTACTGATACACATCTAGATAAGATATCTAGATGGAGAATGTTCTGGACATATCTGTTAGGATTGGTGTGACTTGGATCCCTATCCATTCTTGAGGAATATCAGCAATGAAGAATGAAGCCAGGGTTCTGTATTCTGCACTCTCACCAATCTCTTTCTCTGTATCCTCTTATCTAACAGACTCATCAAATTCTTTGATCAAAACTCATTTATAGGAGAAAGAGATTAGTTTAACCCTTCAAGCCACACCCTGAGCCTTATCCTGCTACCCAGCAAATTCAGTCTCCTTGACCAAGTTCTGGCTTTATCCTTAGTGCTGAATGGCTCATCTAGACAGATGGCATTGAAACTATGTATAATTTTCTGAGGGTTTTGCTCTTTACACAACAACTTGCTCAGAGTTGATCATGGAGAAATGAAGGTTCTTATAAAAAGGAAGTTTAAGCGCTGTATCTACCAGCTCGTTGAAGTACTGTCCTTCATTGCCAGCTTATCAGATGGTAGAGGGAACATAGTTTAATTTGATTTGTTGAAGGAACTTCAGCAGTTACCAGAAAAAAATTTTAGCTGCTAACAATAATGATGACCATTGCGTCCAGTATCTATGTAGGCTTATCACTACTTTATATTCTTGTTTAATTTTTTGTCTCCACATCATGATATTTAGGTGTTATTTGTTTCCATTTTGTAAGTAAGGAAAGAGTTCAGAGAAATTTAAGTCCCATATCTAAGGTTATATAGCTAGCAGAGGCAGAACCAAAATTGAAACCTAGGTTTGTCTGGTTCTGCTCTACTGTCCTGTCCTACTAGTTCAGTCCACAGCCCCAAAGACCTTATCTGGCTTCCGTTTCTTGTGGCATTTGACATGTTTGGTGTATCAGGAGCTATCTTTCTCATCTTTTTTATTTACCTACCATTTGGGCGAGGTCCTTTATATGCCTTCTATCCACCTCAACAAAGACCAAAGAACTAGTTCTAACTTCAGTGCTTTCATGAGAACCTTTCTATCAGCCATGGCTTACAGTTTGAGGGACTTGCTTCCATCACAACTGATTTTGAGAGACTGTACTAACTGACACCATGATGATGCAGCACATAATCTATATGTTCTATATGATCTATTTCTCTATATTCTGCAGAGAATATATTAGAAAGGTCTTGCCCTTTTCACACTCCAGTTGAAGGTTATTTTGACCATAGAATAATCACAATATGTCTAGTTAATAGGATGCTCACTTTCTCAAAGACTAGATGACATGATGATGCCATGAGGGGGCTAGTTTTGACACATTGAGTTGTAAAGGGTTGATAAGCAATCTCTGTGAGAAAGTCTAGCAGTCAAATGAAAACATGAACTAGGGTTTGGAAGACATCAGACCTGGAGAGTTTGAGGAATGATTTCATAGAAAGACTGGAAATACAAGAATGAATGAGACCTTTGAAAGATATGTGAAAAGGATTATGGATAGATTCTTGGAATATACATGTAGAGGCTCAAAAAGAAGGAGCTAGAGAAGTGACAATTAGATAGGAGAAAGGACTCCAGGAAGATAAGAGTTTCAAGAGCCAAAGAATAGAATATTTCAAGGAGAATGAATCATAAGTAACAAATGGTATGTGATGACTGAAGAGAATGAGAATTGAGAAGAGACTCATCTTTTTAGTCTTTGGTAAAATGTGAGGGAGCAGTTTTAGGCATAGAGACAACATAATTTGTTTTCTAGGAATAATAGGTGATTTGGTTTGGCTAGAACAAAGATCATTTTGAGAAGCAGTGGAAAATAAATAGGTTGGACTAGAATTTGTACTCCAGGCAATGGTGAGCCTTTTTGTCTTCCTTTTCTCCAAAATCTACTATCCAGTCAGTGGCTGATACTTTGGAAGATTAATCTGGAGTGGATATATAAATAAACTGGGGATGGGACCAGAGAGCATGGAGAAAGGAGGGCACTGCTATCATTCAGGTGAGAGGGAAGAAGGCAGCTGCAAGCAGCAGGTATTTACTACATTTCCAGAGTGCCCAAACACCTTGATATCACCTTGATATTCTTCAGGGGAAGATGTTCCCACTGCCATACAAGTGGAGCACTTGTGCCTCTGTGGGGTCTTCAATCCATTAGGCTCTTTGGACCCAATATCTCCTATTTTGGACACCTCAGACATCTCATTTTAATAGGCCCTCTTCAAGAGTGTCTCGATTAAATAAAATCTTGTTTGCATCTACAGAAAAGAGATGAGGAATCTGAATGGGCTGGTAGTATACTAAGCTCGAGAGATATAGATCTATGTTACTCTTTGATTAAATTCTGTTAATTCTGTTATTCTACATCACAGTAATTAAGCCATAGCCACACCAGTTTGTGAGCTACTGATAGCATACCTGGCATTTCTGTGCTGTAACTTTGATTCCCAGTCAGCCATAGTTGACTTCCCTCTCAGTCCTAGGTTGAAATCATCTGCAATTTCCATTTTTAGATTTTTTTTGAAGGATTTCTTAGTGCTGGATGCTAGACTAAGGTAGCTTCTGACTGGCCCTGGTGGAACTCTTTGGTCTCTTGCCTCCCACCCAGGTCAGTCCTTAGAGGATGGTACTGCCTTTAAAATCCTTGAATTCTCATCTTAGCTTCAGGTCATTCTTCAGTGACCTTATAGATTCCCTTCTCCTCTTGGATGTATGGCTCTGGCACTGTCTTTCATCTTTAGGGTAGTAGAAGGAGGATGCTCCTTTTTTTTTCCCTAGGCCTTGGGCTTTAGTCTGTCCTCTGTCAGCCTGCACTTTTATTTGCCTTTCCTAAGGGCTCCAGTCCTGAAGAGACCTGCTTTCTTCTCTGGTCCTCTTGGTCCTGTAGCATGTTCTCTAGCTAGTTGCAGACTCCACAGTTCAGCAGCATTTCAGAGGAAAGACCCATATCCAGCCTTGTTGCATTGTTTTAGGGCTATCCCAGGTAGGCCTTCATCAGGGCATATAAAGTGTGGGTATTGAGAAAAAAGGACTAACTTGTGAAAAAGGGGTAGCAGAGACGGTAAATGAAGAATGGGGGCAGGGAATCAGTAATAGTGACTTAGTGTGGGGATAATAGTAGAAGGAATGGGAGGTGAAGGGGAATGGGCTTTTCTTTCATCTGACCATCTTTGTACTTCTCACTATGAACCTTCCCTGTGACCCCTAAACCAACTGCCCCCCTTCTGGTCTGTAGGATGTGTCCAGTTTCCAGCAGGTTGAAAGACTTGAGAGTGGCCGGGGGAAATGTCCTTTTGAGCCAGCTCAGCGGTCAGCAGCTGTAATGGCTGGTGAGTGGGGAGAGACAAGAACCTGTGATTTCTTGCTCTAATTGCCTCCTTCCCCACCCCTGCTGTTGGAATTTCTGTGTCCTTTCTTTCCTTGGAATGTCTATTATTCCCATGTCTTTTTTTAGCCTTTCCTGTTCTTCCCTGAGTGCCTGTGACCACCTGCTTTTTCCCACAGGGTGTTATTTCCCCAAAGTTCTCTCCAGAGAATATTTCCTCTGCTTCTCTATGTGAGTGTTTCCTCTGTTAATGTCACTTTCTTCTCCCATAGTATTTATTTTTTTGTTTATAAGAGGAATATACTACAATGCATATTGTAATAAATTTGGAAAAAATACATAAAGAAGAAAATAAATCTAGAATAGCACTGTCTAAAAATCTTTATATGATGATGGAAATATTCTGGATCTGCACTGTGCAATTCAGTAACCACTTGCTATTGTGGCTGTTGAGCCCTTGAGATGTGATTAGTGTGATCAAAGGAAATAATTTTAAGTTTTATTTAATTTAATGTAAATGGCTCCATGTGCCCCAGTGGCTACTGTATTAATACAGTTCTAGAATATCTCTACTTAGAAAACCACTGTTAGTATTTTAGGATATTTGCTTCTAGCTATTTATTTATTTAGGGTACTGGGGATTGAACTCAGGGGCACTCAACCACTGAGCCAATCCTTGGCCCTACTTTTTGTATTTTATTTAGAGACAGGGTCTCACTGAGTTGCTTGGTGCCTCACTTTTGCTGAGGCTGGCTTTGGACTCACGATCCTTCTGCCTCACTTCCTGAGCCTCTGGGATTACAGGAGTGCGCCACCATGCCTGGCACGTCTAGCCTTTTAAATGTGTGTGTACACCCATATATACTTATTTTGCTTACATTTGCTGTCTAGTGTTTTGTTGTTTGGAGGAATAAGCAATGATTGTGAAATAAATTCCTGTGGGTGCTTTCTTTGAACAATACATCTACAGTTGCTCAAGTATGGAAGTCATTCTGGAAAATGATTGTCTAATTCTTTGGTAGCTAGAGAGCAAATTGTTTTTGTCTTACAAGACCTGTATTTTCGGTCAGACCATCCCACATCCGCCTTCCAAATTCGGGGAAAACCCAGCTGTTTTCTTCTGATTGTATAAAATAAGCAGTTCCATGGAAATTTTATAGTACTTTTAAATGTTTTACCCCATGGATATAATTTTGAATTTTATTGTGTGAATTTATACCATAGATACATACCATACATAATATAAAAATTCTTTGTAGAGAGACTTTTAATGACATCATTACTCACTCCCTGAGCATACCATAAATTAAACAACTCCAAATTGTTTATAAGTTGTTTTATTTAGATTATTTGAAGTTTTTTCTATTCTCCATATTGCTGTAGTAAACATTTTGATTCACATTTTTTTTTGTCCTCATTTTAGATCATTTCCTTAAGATGTCTAGAAATGGATTACTACAGCAAAGGGTGTGAACATTTTATGGCTCATTATCTGTTGCTAATTGAGTTTTTAGAAACAGTGTACCAATTTACACCCTAAGCCAGCAATGTATGAGAGTGTTTTGTTTTCTCACATAAATTTCACTGTAATGTATTGTTGCCATTTAAAAAAAAACTTTGCTAATTTGGTACTAAAATGGCACATTGTTTTAATTGGTATTTCTTTGAATATTATTAGTAAAGTTGAACATCTTTGTGTTTTAGGACTTATTTAAAATTTATTTTTTGGCAATCCTCTGTTCTTGTTCTTGGGCCAATTAAGAGACTATTAATGTCCTACACTTCTTTTTGTGATTATATGTTTTATCCTTTTTTGGTTAAAGTAAGGGGTGCTTTACCATTGAATTGCATTCCCAGCCCTTTTTATTTTTTATTTTGAGACAAGGTGTCACTAAGTTTCTTAGGGCCTTAAGTTGCTGGGGTTAGCCTCAAACTTGTGATCGTCCTGACTCAGCTTCCTGAGTTGCTGGGATTATAGGCATGTGCCATGGCACCTGGCTCAGTCCGTCTTCATTTAGAGAGCAGATAAAATTTTTTCTTACTAAAAAGTTCTCCCCCCAGTTTCACTCTTTGCTATATTTCGAACTTATTTTGATGAAAGGCATGAGATGGGCAACTAAATTAATTTTTTTCCTATCTAGTAATAGTTAAATCAGTTACTTAGCATCATTCATCATTCATCATTCTTTCTTCACTGACTTTTTGTCAACTTTATCATAAAATTAATTTTTACCTGTAGTTTTGAACAGTATTTGTGTAAAACAAAAATTAGAATGTAGGATCTAATGATTTTTTTCTTTTTTTTCTTTTTTTCTAAGTTTTTTTCTTATGTGTGACTTCATTTTTAGGAAATGTATTAAAAGCTATACAGATGAAATCATTCTTTAATCATTCAGTTAATGACTTTCCTTTTCAGGGAAAAAACTTTTAAAAGTGAGAATAAAATATTCCAGTTGCTTGGCTTGGTGACACATGCCTGTAATCCCAGAGGCTCCGGAGGCTGAGGCAGAGGATCATGAGTTCAAAGCCAGACTCAGCAACAGCGAGGCACTGAGCAGCTCAGTGAGACCCTGTCTCTACATTAAATACAAAATAGGGCTGAGGATGTAGCTCAGTGGTTGAGTGCCCCTGAGTTCAATCCTCACCCAGTATCTACCCCCGTCCCCCAAAAAGTATACCAACATTATCAAGATTATCATCATTTACTCTTAAAATTGATGAGGACTTGTTTATCCTTACACATGTTTGAATAAAACAATATTTTTCTTGGCTTTTTGTCAGCATCTTTGCCAAAACTCTGAGCCAGCCATTGGTATCAGTAAGAAAGATTTCTTGAGTTTCAGTCATTGTAAATGTCTCTTGATTCTGCAAAATTGTTAATTAGCATAAATGACTTTGAAATGCAATAATCTAAAGTAATCAGTTAACATACTTTATTTCAAGCAATAATCTTTAAGCATGTGCAAACCTCTACAAATAATTTCTTTTCAGCCGCTCAGTGAATTTGTATTAGGATGTGGTTTAAGAGGACTAATTTCATAAATAAAATCATTGTGTGACAAAGTGGAAAGAGCACTTTCAAGAAGGTTTCAAGTTATTTTTATTTTTTTTCCAGATGATAAAATTCAGCATTGCCCAAAGGAAGAAAAAAACAAAGGAAAACAATTCAGATTTGTTTTTTAGCTGTTAATTGACAGAGGTGATCAGAATTCACTTTCTAGTTTAGAACCACCATCTCCAGTTAACTTAGGAACTCTGTCTCTAGTTGCCTCAGATCTAAATCACAGTCAATACCAGTATTATAAATTTTCATCTGTGGTTCTTATTTTAGAGGGATATCATTTAAAAATTTTCTTGGTTTACATAAGAGCCAGTATTCACTTGGGGCTTTTAGTATTGATCCACTGTGCCCTTCTGTTTTGAAAATGGCACTGTAGAAACTTGTGAAAACAGTATGTAAGGACTAGAACCAAATTTCCCAGTTAAAAATCTATGAAAATATCTTTAAACATAAAAGAGATATTTTGAAATTAAAAGAAAGAACTTTTAATAATTAAAGTATTTTTAGAATATAATAACAGAAGTATTTTCTTAAATTATAAAAATTACAATGTGCATTGTAGAAAATTAGAAAACAGAAATGTTATAAAGAAGAAAGTAAAATTTTTATTTGTAGTTCTATCATCACAAGGTAATCAATATTATTATTTTGGAGTGTAATGAGGATTTTCTTTAACTGTCTATGTTTCTTTAACTGTCTATGGGTATTTATAAGTAAAATATAATTATGCATATTTCATTTGGTATTATTAATACTGAGCATTTTCTATAGTAGTTATATTATTATTCAAAACATGATTTTTAGTAATTGTGTACATTTCTATCAGATTAATGTGGATAATTTAATTATTTCCATATAAGTATACATTCAAGTTTTAAAATCAGTTATTGCTTTTATAAATAGTGTCACAAGTCAGACGAATTAGTGAATGCTTATAATCTTAGCTACTTGGGAGGCTGAGGCAAGAGGATGTATCTCATTGTTAAGAGTGCTCTAGGTTCAGTCCCCAGTACAGGGAAAAGCTACAACATAAATCTTTTTATATAAGTTTCATGTTAATTCTTTACATGAATCTAATTAATTGCATATGAGTCAACCTAAGAAATGGAGTTGCTATGTCAGGAAGTGTAAAGATTTTTTATGGGGATCAGTAGATTTGGATAAATTATTCTCAGTCCCACCAGTAGTAATAAGAGAGCCTGCTTTATCGCACCCTTGTCAGTCCCAGGTAATATAGTGAACAAACATACAAAGAGACAGTGCCCTCCTCCAAAGTCCAATTTAATGTGTATTTTAATTGGTATTTCTACTAGTGATGTTGAACAATTTTTCATGTGTTTATTGGTACTTATATTTCTTTTGGGAAAAGCCTTATAAATCTATATTTCCAATATGACATTAATTTATACTATACCTAGATAAAAGTAGCAAAATGATCTTTATTTGCACTATTCAAATTTATAAAATTTTTTAACAATAACATCCACATTAGCCTAAAATCACGAATATTTTGACAGTAACATTCATGCTAGCCTAAAACCAATCTTGAGTCCTTCTCAGTCTCCTTGGTGGATTCTTTGTCTTCTGCTCATTCTTTAAATGTAGGGGTTCCTCAGGCTACCATCCAAGAGCTTCTTCTCACTCTAAATAGTTGTGATCTCAGCCAGGCATGTGGCTTCTTTTTCTATTCCATTCAAATGCCTGTCCAGTCTGTATGTGTTTCCCAGGTCCTGAAGGTATAGAGCACATACCCAGCTACTTTTCAGATGCCTCTGCTTGGATGTCCTGCAGGAATCTCAATATCATCATGCTCCAAACTCAGCTTGTCATTTTTATTCACCTTCTCCAAACCTGCTGTTCCACCTACATTCCCTCCTCTGAGTGCTTAGCGTCATTGGATATCAGCAAGGTTAGCAGTCATTCATATTTGGTCTTCCCTTACCAAAGGGAACAAATTGGGCTTTCATCAAGATGAGCAGAAAAGCTCAAAAGCTTTTGCTTTTCTCCTTGGGAACTCATCCTGTGATTTTTATCCACTGCTTTCAGACACTGCATCTTGTGATAATGCATCTGCCAAGGAGCACTACAAATGTTCCAAATGCACTGGCTGCTGCCAGTGTTTTGGGTCCAAGCCTACCTCTTAAATGCATGTATATCTGCCCCAAGATTGGCATTCATACACTGAAACAAGACAGTTAATAGAAATCCATCACAGCCAATAGAGGGAAAAGAAAAGTAAACACTGTAACTCCAAATGACTAATTATGTCCTACTAATAGGCTGTTAGAAAAAAAGAAGAGGGTAGCCAGCTGGCCTAGTCCTTACATAAGGAAATGGAGAATATTGGAGTAGGAGGTAACTATTCTAAAAAGCATCCGACCACAAGAAGAAAAGGAAATGGAAAAAGCAAGGCCAGGGCATGTTTACAATTTTTTAAAAACCAATGAACATATACTTCCTATTGCTAATCTCCTTTAGAAGTGAGCATTTGACATCAGAATGGAAATTAAAACCCCCATAGTGTAGGGAAAAATTCACTGCCATTACACACCCCTTGGCCTTTCAGTATTGGGTTAGTAGCACAGTGTAAGAATCTGTTTCACACACAATTATGATTTTTTTTGGCTGTGATTCTTCATATTCTGGGGTGTTAATTCTTTATATTACTAAAATGAAAATATCTTAGTTTGGGGGTTATAAAAATAGAAGATACTCACTACAAAAAAAACATTCAGTGAATACAAAAAAAAAAAGTATAAAGAGAACAAAAATTGCTTCCAATTCCATTAGTCAGAAACAAAGCATCATTAACACAGTAGAGTTACAGCTCCTTCAACAATCTTTCCTATTCCTGCAGGCATATATGCATATTTTAAAAAATAGAAATAGTGCTGAATTAGCTGCACATGGTGGTGAATGCTTGTAATCCCAGCAACTCAGGAGGATTGCAAGTTGAAGGACAGTCTCAGCAATTTAGCGAGTCCCTAAGCAATTTAGCAAAACCCTGTCTCAGTATAAAAATTAAAAAGTGCTGGGGATGTGGCTCAGTGTTAATGCTCCCTAGATTCAATCTCCAGTACCTAAATAAGTAAATAAACAAACAAACAAATAAATAAATAAATAGGGCTGAATTTTCTTATCCCCAGTAGTGTTTTTGTTTTTTTCCCTAACAAGCTTTTTCTCTGAACTCAATTGTAGATATCACTCTCTTTTACCCATCATCATTTGCCAATAGCTAGACATGTACTAATGTTTACTGACTTAATCCGTTTAGCAATCATTTGCCAAACAATTGTACATTAAAATATATTTTATTATATGAACATTGCAATTTAGTTGCATTGGAATTGAGTTTGTCTTGGAGACTCTTGGGCCTGCAGTGTCCTGAGTCCTCCTCTGTACTCCTGTCCTCATGACTGTGATATTTGCTTACACCTGTAGCTGATAACACCCTTCTCTGGGTTAGTGAGTGTGAAGGACTGTGACAAGCCCCCTGGTATTCCTGGAGCATCTGGAGCCCTGCTATTTCCTCCTGACTTGTCTGATCCCTTATCCTGTGCCTGAGTGTCAGTGACCCTCTGCTATTCCACCCTGAGGATTGTGTTCTCTTCTGCATTTCTAGGTTCCACTGTTGCTGATTCCTCCATTGATCTCTTTAAACCTTGGGACCCTTTTCCACCATCCACTGCTGGGTCTTTGCATGGTTTCCTGTGGTCCTTTACTTTTTCCAGAATAATGATTGTTTTTCCTCAACCTTATATCCTAAGCCATGCTCCCTAAATATTCATAACTGTCTCCTATAGCTCATCTCCTTTCAGTCTCAAGGTATCTATGACAGTTTTGATGAGAGTTTGGCTTTTTACGAATTTTGCGTAATATTTAATCTAGGGGCATTTACCACTGAGCCACATCCCAGGCCTTTTTTATTTTGAGATGGGGTCTTGGTAAGTTACTTAGGGCCTTACAAGTTTCTGAGGCTGAGGTTGACCCCTAACTTGTGATCTTCCTGCTTCAGCCTTTAGAATTGCTGGGATTACAGGTGTGTGCTACCACATCTGATGTTTAGAGAAAAATTTAATCCAAGCTCTTCTGTATCCACATTTTCCCCCCTTGAAAGTACGAGGATTGGTTTATTTGCTGCTCTATTTGCTGCCAGGACCTATGACCAATGTTTGGTTTTTATTTCCAGAAATTCTCTGGAAGATAATGGGTTGTCATTTTATAGCTCCCACTCTCTTCTGGCAAGTCAAGCATATGGCCCTTTGAGATTTCATAAGGAAATGTAACTAACATACTGAATAACTGCCATGTGTCACACCCTTGCTAGGGCTCTGTAATTATCTCATCTTATCCTCAGCATTTACTTTTATCTCTATTCTAAATTTGAGGAACCTGAGGTTGAGGGAAGTTCATTTGCCTAAGGTTGAGGGAAGTTCATTTGTATCATACTACAAGTATATATTCAGGGTTTCAAGCCAAGTCTTCCTGGCCCTGAAACACTTGGATTCTTTCCACACTTTAAATGATGGAACAATTGCCCTTCCTAACCCTTCCCCATGTTTTCCACTCTTCTCTGCTGCCCTCAGAAGCTTCCTGGCCATTTTTTGCTCTAGAGTTTTCAAGACTGATTATCCTAACAGTGCCTGTGGCACACAGCTTCTCTGGAGCATCTCCAAGATGGTTTTGCTTTCCTCCATGTGGTTCTACTCTCTTCTGCTTCTGGAAGCCAGTGAGCTCAAGCCTTCATGGTCCTTGCTGAGATTTTTGTGCACCAGCTTCCAGTACACAGCCTCTTTTTTTTATTAAAAACTTTCATTGGTACATTGTAATTATACATAATAGTGGGATTCATTATGCCATGTTTATACATGCACGTAACAAAATCTGATCAATTTCATTCCTGGTATCTTCCCTTTTCTTTCCCTTCCTCCTCCCCCTGATCTGATTGCCCTACACTATTGATATCCTTTCTGTTATTATTGTTGTTTTAATTAGTGCATTATAATAATACATACACCCACACCCACACATTCATGGTGGGATTCATTGTGGTACATTCATACACATCAGCCTCTTTTGCTTTCTCCTGCTTCTTCAGTCTCCTGACCTTGCTTTATTTTTCTTCCTGGCTCTTACCTTTGTGTCATTCATGCTGTGACTTAAGCAGGATGTGTGATGACTCCCAAGTTGCTGACTCTGGCCCTGTTTCCCAGATCCTACTTATTCATTGCCTTCTGGAATCTCTGACCCATGTCCTGAAGCCACTTAACCCTTAGTCTGTCCAACAGCTGAACTCACTTTCTCTCTACCTTTCCCCATCATGGGCCTTCTCCTGTCATTTCCTGGCTTGGTTAATAATAGGGTAAATAATAGGGTAAAGCCCATGGTAGAAGAGACTCTTCACAATTGGTGCCCGTCTCTACCAGTCCAGCTTCATTTCTGCTCACTTGCCCTGTATGACAGCTCCCTCTGGGCTTTAGCCGCCAGTGTCCCATGTCCCCAAACATGGTTTTCCTCTTTGCTGCTTGTGAAGACCTCCTTCTCATTCTTCAGAGATACTACTCCTTTAGGTAGAGGTAGATAGATCCACTCTATTAGATCAAGCCTCCTGGTGTCTTGACTCTAGGCAGGTGTCCGTGACCTGCTGCTGCCCTGATTCAGTTTTCTTTCAGCTTGTGTTTGAGTCCTTGACAGTGTTACTAGAGGTGGCTATAGTTCTTTCCCACTCAGTGCACAGAGCTGCACCTCCCTCCTGTCCCAGAGTGTCTTGGATTTCTCTCTTCTTCCATACCCACCATTTGTGTGATGCCTCTGCCCTTCTTCTGTGCAGGAGGGAGGACCCCATTCCTCTGTTGCTTCTCCAGCTGTTTGTAAAACCTCCATTGGTCTTCTGGGCTAGTGTTCTCAAAGGAGGCCTGAATCACTTGCATCAGAATAATTGATTGCTTGTTTTTGAAATGCAGGTTTTTGGGATGCACCCCTGCCTCCAACTTTGAATGAGAATGCTGGGTCCAGGGACCTGCATTTTTATCAAGTCTCCTAGCAATTCTAGTATAACCTACATTTGTGACCCGATCTAGGGCAGTACACACCCACCGATGTTCAGAAAGAATACTAGTTTCCTTAGACTTGACCATGGTGGAGAACTGACGTAAGATTGGAATGTGCTACCAAGCCAATGCCCCTCCTGGAGAGTCACAATATAGTTAGTTAGCATATTGTAAAAGCACAAAACTGCCCAAACAAACCTGGTTTCCACAGGAGAGGCCTTCATTCTCGCTTTGTGCTAGTGGACACTCCAGCAGTTTCTCTTAACCCTGGTTTCCTTACTGTCCCAAGAGGTTTATTTCTATGTTTACTGGTGATCAGGGGATTCCTGTGATGTACTCAGTGGTGTCTGGCACTTAGTGGGCGCCCAGTTCTGAAAGTTGCTGTCCTGCTTTATTCCCTGCTCTGCCTGTGACCACTTTTGCTTCCCTCAGTCTTTGATGCCTTGTCTCCTCCCTGTCGCTCTGCAGGGGGCGTCCTCTATGCTGCCACTGTGAAAAACTACCTGGGGACAGAGCCGATTATCTCTCGGGCTGTGGGTCGTGCTGAGGACTGGATTCGCACGGAGACCTTGCCATCCTGGCTTAACGGTGGGGAGAGGGGAAGGGGAGCCCTGGGGCACAGACTGGGTGGAGATTGGGTGATCCTAGCTGTGTCTGTGAGGATCTGAGGCCACTGGTCTCCCCAGCCCCTGCCTTTGTCGCAGCGGTGGCCTTGAGCCCAGCCGAATGGGGGGATGAAGATGGAGACGACGAAATCTACTTCTTCTTTACTGAGACTACCCGAGCATTTGACTCATACGAGCGCATTAAGGTCCCACGGGTGGCCCGTGTGTGTGCGGTGAGACCCCCATCCCAGCTGTCTGTTTGGTGTCTCCTGCTCTCTTCTTCCTGTCTTTTTCTCTCAGGGCCTTTGCATCTCTCTTCTGTCTCATGTTTTTCTCTGCCTTGATTTTTTTTTTTTCCCTTGGGAGCTTGAGGAGTGTGGGGGAGGGTCCCTGCCTCTTTCACCTCCACAATTATCCTTGTGACATAGGAGGTGGACATGTGTAGAGGTTAAAGGCATGAACTGGTAGCACACAGACTTGGGTTCAATCCTGCTTTACCACTTACTGCCTCTGTGACCCTGGGTAGGACCTTTATCATCTTTGACACTCATCTGTAGAGTGAGGATAATAACAGTGTTGACCTGTAAGGGTTAATCTGAAGGCTAAACAAGGTAACACTTTATACACTGTACACAATTGACTTCATCACTGTCATTATAATTGTGACCTCATCCATCTTTGTATCTCATTGTCCTCACAGTTCCTCTGTCTGTCCTTGCATTTTTGTGTCTCCCCATCTGTCTGTGGCTACCCTGAAGTCAGGGAGGAAACTTGGGTTGATCTTCACACTTCTTGCCCAGTATTAGTCTTCTAAAGAGAATTTACCATGTGCTTGTCACTCCAGGGAGACCTTGGGGGCCGGAAGACCCTCCAGCAGAGGTGGACGACATTTCTGAAAGCTGACCTACTGTGTCCTGGGCCAGAGCATGGCCGGGCCTCCAGTGTCCTGCAGGACATGGCTGTGCTTCGACCTGAGCCTGGAGCAGGGACCCCTATCTTTTATGGCATCTTTTCCTTCCAGTGGTGAGAAGGAGAGTTACAGGGTGGGAGATTTGTGAGGTTGGTGCAGTGTCAGTGCTGTCCTCTCAGAGGGGTGGACTCTCCCCCACTGGCTGTGTGGCTCCCCACATATTTCCTCCAAGAGAGGAGGTCTTTTCTTTCTACAAGGGATGAGTTGCTGTCCCTCAGCTCTCCCCAGATATTTGGTTCCAACCTGTGACTCTTTTAGGGAAGGGGCTGCAATCTCTGCTGTCTGTGCCTTCCGACCACAAGACATTCGGACAGTACTGGATGGCCCCTTCAGAGAGCTAAAGCATGACTGCAGTAGGGGACAGCCTGTCATGGACAATGATGTGCCCCAGCCCAGGCCTGGAGAGGTGAGGGGGAGGGGGCAGGTCTTCATCACAGGCCTGAATTAAAGAGCAAGAGGTGCCCTAAGCCCTGTGTTTCCTCTAGTGCATCACCAACAACATGAAGTTCCAGCAGTTTGACTCATCACTCTCCCTTCCTGACCGCGTGCTCACCTTCATCCGAGACCACCCACTCATGGATAGGCCAGTGTCTCCAGCTGACGTCCACCCTCTGCTGGTCACTACGGATACAGCCTATCTTAGAGTTGTGGCCCACAGGGTGGCCAGCCTCTCAGGGAAAGAGTATGATGTGCTCTACCTGGGGACAGGTACATTGAACAGTCAAGCGTGTTACATACTCCCATCCCACCGAGGGTCCCCTAATACATACGGGCATCAGAACTCCATGCACAGAGACAGTTATGCCATTATTCTTGATCCTTGCTGCCTCCCAGAGGATGGACACCTCCACCGAGCAGTGCGTATTGGAGCCCAGCTCAGTGTCCTTGAAGATCTGGCCTTGTTCCCAGAGCCTCAGCCCATTGAGAACATGAAATTATACCATGTGAGTTGTAGATTTTTGGCAAGTCTGGTGGAGAGACATCTGAGTCTAGAGCCAGTTATGTGACCCTGAGATCTGGGAGATTCAACATTCCCCTTCCTATTCCTTTTCTGTAGGGTTGGCTCCTGATTGGCTCCAGTACTGAGGTAATACAAGTGAACACAACCAATTGTGACCGTCTCCAGAGCTGCTCAGAGTGCATCCTGGCCCAGGACCCTGTCTGTGCCTGGAGTTTCCGGCTAAATGCGTGTGTGGTCCATGCTGGGGAGCACCGAGGGTAAGTGTAGCTGGACTGGTCTCTTGTCTCTTTTCTCAGAACTCTGTCCCATTCATATGTCTGTTTGTTTCTCAGTCTGCTAATGCTACCCTGTCGCTCTGTGTATTTCTCTTCTGTCAGTGTCTGTATCACTTTTGTGTCCATCTGTCAGCCCATATTGATTCATCTGTCTGTTCATCTGGTGCTGTCTCATCAATGTCTTTGCCTCTGTGCTATGCTAGACCTGTGCTGATAGTGGCACTGAGTCTATGTTAGTCAAATGACAGTCAATGATACTCCATGTCAGACAGTGGGACTGAATCCATCTCTGGTAGATGCTTCTTAGTTTTCATCTTATAGGGGCTCTCAGAGGTGTTTTCACAGTCTCCCACTCCCTCCTTCCTTGAAATTCTCTCTTCTCTTGCCTTCTATGACTCTGTGTTCTCCTGCCACCCTGTTGATTCCTTTCTCATCTAGCTGCTGAGTATTGATATTCCTCAGGGCTAAGTCCTGGACCCCTTCTCTTTACACCTCAACACTCTCTCTAGGTTATATCAGTGCCATCTGAGTGCTACTGCTGACTACAAATGTGTCTCTAGCTGAGACATACTCCCTATCCAGCTGCCTACTTGATGTTCCCCTTGGATTCTTCATAAGCAACTCACACTTAACAAGTCTGAGATTGTACTGTTGTTTTCCTTTTTCCCTCACATGCTCCTTCTCTGGTCCTTATCTTGATTAACTGACCCCCTTTCTTCCAGGTTTTCAAGCCAGACCTTACCTGCATTATATTGCAATTTGTATTAATTCTAGCCCCCAAACCTATCCTAGGTCCACCTTCTCCCCTTCACCTCTGCTGCTACCACCCTGGTGTAAGTTCATTACTTCTTAACTGGACTGCTCTAATAACCTCCGGATTGATCTTCTCTTGCTCATGTTGTGCTCCTATCGTCCACTTGCCATTTAGCAATTAACTTAAAAATACACATCATATTTTGGAAGAAAATCCCTGACATTGTTTGTGTTCATCCTAAATATTTCAACGTAGATCTCTACCAGATAAGGACTCTCTTTAAAATATTTTTACTTTTTTGTAGGAATTTTCAAACATATTCAAAAGTAGAGACTAATATAATGAGTTTCCATGTATTTATCCATCCGCTTCAAAAACATCAACTACTAGTCAATCTTGCTTTAATCAACACCCTCACTTTCTACCTATTGTTTTGAAGCAAACCTTAGACATCCTGGCACTTCATCTATAAATCTTTCTTCATGTATCTCTAACCTAGAAAGATTCTTTTAAAAAGATAATCATTATATTATATAATGGATATCACCATTATCATACCAAAAATTTAATTTCTTAAGTGTCATTAAATACCTAGTCAATGTTTTAATTTCCCCAGCCAAATACACTTAAAAAATAACCTAAGTTGGAATTTAAGTAATGTCTATCAAAATTCATATTGAGATATATATATATATATATATATATATATATATTTTTTTTTTTTTTTTGCAGTTGTAGATGGACAGAATGCCTTTATTTTATTTATTTCTATGTGGTGCTGAGGATCGAACCTAGTGCCTCATGCATGCTAGGCAAGCACTCTGCCATTTGAACTACAGCCCGAACCCTGGTTTATATGTTTTTTAAGTGTTTTTAAATCTTTAATTGAGATATCAATGTGGTATTTTTGGTCAATTGTTTGGAGCATGCATTTTTCTAACCTTGAGATTTCTCTGCTTGAAGCCTCGTTAATTTACAGTCTATTTGTGTATCCCAGAACCTCAAGTGTGAATGGAACAATAGCATATTATAGAACTCTGATATTCTGTAGAACCACAATATTACAAATCCTTTAGAGGTAAACGGATTAATTACAAATGTCAAAGGATCATGAAACTTTAAATGATAACTGACATATAGTCAGTGTATTCATAAAATTTAATTTTGTTTTTCTGATATTCATTTTTAATTATAAGTGTAAAATCTTATACCATCTCTTAATCAGACTTGACATTTTGCCAGTTGAGGACATAAAGTAATTCTAGGAGGGCAGGATTGTCCTGCTTTGCTTTCTTTTTTCTTAGTATGATGGATTGAACCCAGAGGTGCTTAATCACTTATCCATATCCCCACCCCTTTTTCATTTTTTATTTTGAGACAGGGTCTCACTAAGTTGCTTAGGGCCTTGCTAAGTTTCTCAGGCTGCCTTTGAACTTGGGATCCTCCTTCCTCAGCTTCCCAAGTTGCTGGGATTACAGGCATGTACCACCAGGCCTGGCAGCTTTGCATTTTTCAATCAAGAAAAATGGTCTTTTAGTTTCTTTTGGGAAAACTTTAAATGTCTAGAGAAAAGAAAATGGTTTATTCTTTCCTTTCTTGTTGTAATGTTTATTAAAATAAGAATTTCACTGGCCTTAGGTGTCCTTTATATTTGAGCCTCAAAGGTTCTCTTTGGGATATATGTGAGTTTGAAGGGTGTAAGAGGAAGAGCATGGGGTGTGTGTATATGCCAGTGTCCTAGTTTGATACTTTTGAACATTCTGCCCTTTATCAGTTCACCCAAAAGAGAAAAAAAAACAGACTATGACGTTCCTGTGGTTACAGCTGTACATATGGTCTTCCCGTATTTCCCACTTACTATTAGACTCAACAGCCAGCCTTGTTTTACCCTGGAAATTTGCTTTCATTCATACCACTCTTGGAGCTTATTTCAGGGACTTTAATTTATACTGAAGGAATTCACACTCAAATGGAGTCTGCCTCTAGTCTAGGCTTTCAGGTGTTCAGACTTTTTACCTGGCCTTCACTGACAGCCTTAGTAGAGATCTCATTGGTATCCATACCTCTGAGAGTGATGCCATAGAGCTCAGCAGTGAGTGGTCCATCTTGCCATCACTGTCCACCCACATCGTGGAAATACCAGATTGTGTTGTTTGAAACATCAGGGCCAATATATATTAATAGCTGTTGGAGAAAGTGAGTTCCTCCATAGACAAGCTACTTTATGAAATTAAAAGTCATCTCATCCTCACAGGATTTTGATTAGCATTTACAGAAAAGAAATTTGCTGTTTTTCTAAACAGGAAAAGAGAAAAAAAAACCAACAACTCTAGTTTGTGTGTGTGTGTCTCCTGAAAAAAAAATCTTGTGGTTGTGGACAATCAGGTCCATTTTTTAGAAGATTATTATTTCTTTTTTCTTTTTGCAGTACTAGGAGATGAATCCAGGGGTGCTCCACCACAGAGTTATATCCCCACCTTTTTAAATTTTTTTTGTTTTAAGATAGGATCTCACTAAGTTGCTAAGGCTGGACTTGAACTTGTGATTCACCTACTGCAGCCTCCAGAATCACTGAGATTACAGATATGCACCTCTGTGCCTGGCATTTTTGTTGTTGGTATTGTGTTGGAGATCAAATATTCTCATTTGTTTTAAAGCTCACCCACAAAACACCTTTCTAGCAGACCATGGGCTTCTAGAAATACATGTAGAATTTGATATGGCAGATATCATGAGGAATATGAGGTATTGGGGAAAATTTAGGCGATACGGAGAATGTTAACTAATTCTAGGGGTGATTTATTTGATGATAGAAATGTAATCTGTGTGTGAATGTTCTGTGGTACTGAGGAGGGTAGAAAAGAATGCTGCCAATGAATTTAACAAGTATTCTCCTCTCTTTAGGTTGGTCCAAGACATAGAGTCGGCGGATGTTTCTTCTTTGTGTCCCAAAGAGCCTGGAGGTCTGTATGGTTTATGAAAACTGTGGGTGGAGTGGCTAAAAAGGATTTAAAAGTTGTCCATTTTATACCTACTTTAAAATTTGGATCCTGGAAGACACGGCAGCCAGTGTCCCAGGGCCTTACCCTTTTTGGGCATCCCCTTTTCAGCTTTGTCCCCATCTCATGTCTGAAATCACCCCACATTTCTCTCTCCTGTACCCCCAGACTATAGCTTCATCACCTTTGTGCCTGTGCTGTCTCTCTGCAGAACACCCCGTAGTGTTTGAAGTTCCCGTGGCTACAGCTGCACATGTGGTCTTGCCATGTTCCCCCAGCTCAGCATGGGCATCCTGTGTGTGGCACCAGCCCAGTGGAGTGACTGCACTCACCCCCCGGCGGGATGGGCTAGAGGTGGTAGTGACCCCAGGGGCTATGGGTGCTTATGCCTGTGAATGTCAGGAGGGTGGGGCAGCCCGTGTGGTTGCGGCTTACAGTTTGGTATGGGGCAGCCAACAAGCCCCTGCAAGCCGGGCCCGCACAGTGGGGGCTGGACTGGTTGGCTTCTTCCTGGGGGTTCTTGCAGCATCCCTGACTCTCCTCCTGATTGGTCGGCATCAGCAACGACGGCGACAGAGGGAACTTCTGGCTAGAGACAAGGTGGGCTTGGACCTGGGGGCCCCACCATCTGGGACCACAAGCTACAGCCAAGACCCTCCCTCTCCTTCTCCTGAAGATGAACGGCTGCCTCTGGCCCTGGCCAAGAGGGGCAGTGGCTTTGGTGGTTTCCCTCCACCCTTCCTGCTTGATCCTTGCCCGAGCCCAGCCCACGTTCGGCTAACTGGGGCTCCTCTAGCCACATGTGATGAAACATCCATCTAGAGCCAGGCAGGTGACCACTAGTGCATGAATGACCACTGAAACAAAGTGATCACTGAGACCAGGGTCATTGGGCCTGGCCTCCCAGTGTTCTTTGAATCTGAGTGATCACCTAGATTTCAGTGTCTGCCCTCTCCAGGCCTTGATGGACTTGGGGAAGGGTCTTTGCCTCGTTTGTGATTCCCATGAAAAATCAGAGCTGCTCTCTGCAGGGAATCCAGCTTCCCCTCCCCACCTCTGAGCCTTTGTAACCCTTCAACCCTGACCTCCTATCTTGAGCCCTTTAGGTTTGGGGAGGGGCTCAGAGCAGTGACTGCTCTGGGTGGGCCTGGCCAGAAGGAAGAGCCATGGAGGTGGGTAGGGCTAATGTGCACTGACTCCTCAGGGTGGTTCTGCTGATTCTCCAGTTTAGTGATTTTCTGTGGGGAGTGCATGATCCCCATGCATCAACATGAAACCTCTGCCCTGAGATTCTTCCTGTCCCATTTTCCCTTCCATGAAAGAGTAGGTGTAAATACATTGGTATTCATAGGAGACACGGCCACATGTGCATGAATGACTGGGCCGATGCTTAGGTGTTTTAGGGTTGGGGGTAGAGGAGGGAAGGTTGGAATGGGTCATTGCCTACAGAACTTATACCCTGTAGCCAGTCAGGAAATGGCTTTCCTTCCCAAAAGGAAACTAAACACTGTCCTTCTCCCCACTTCTCTACAACCCTTCTGTAAAATTGGGTAGAGAAAAGCTCCTGAAGTGACCTTCTAGGTGGGAAGGGCAGCGGTACATGTGACCCCATCCTTCTCTTTGTTTTTGCCTTCTGGCTGCCACCACTGCCATGCCACAGCTGCTCTTTCCCTGGCTGCAGTGTAGGCTGAAGCCCCTTTCCTTTACTCCCAGTAAAAATGAACTTAACAACATTCTAAATATTAGGGGATGACAAAAGGGGGAACAGTCACAGGACATGTAAGCAGCTTAAAGATAGGTGTGCATCAGTGACTTTACTCAGGGTGATACCATTGCCACAAAGCAGGAGTCACCCACCTGGGGCCTGTGGACTCCCTAAAATTGTATGCAAAATGTTGTCTGTACTGTGTGTCTGTTTTTTTTCTGGGGGAGGTTTTATGGATTTCATCAGATTCTCAAGGCCTTAATAAAGTTAAAGGACCACTGCCTGCGGTGACCACTCTTGGGCCAAGCCAAGCGGGTGCCACTCTGTGGCAGCTCCTCCTGGCCTTGCCCTGCTGCCTGTGGCCAGTCCCTGGACTTATTGCTCCTGGAAGCCTGTTTATTCTGTCCATGGAAGCTGGGTTCTGTGCACATTTGAAGAGACTGTCAACTCTGACCAAATACCCAGACCTCTTCCTGCTTCACAACTCCTGCGTGCTCTAGGCTTCTCCTGCTCAGTCCCGGTGTTGGCCTGTGTATGTGCCTCATTCATCCCTGGTGAAGGATCCCCTGAAACTACAGTGAATGATCCTCCCTTACCAGTTTTCTGCTCTGTTTTCCTTGGCAGCAGCCTGTGAACTACTGGAGTCCCCTTGGGTTTGGAGTTATCAGTGGTATTGCCACTAATAATATGATCTTTGATATGTAATCTAACCTAGGGACTTTGGTTTATTCATCTGTAAAGTGGGGATAATAATACCTACCTCAAGGTTGCTGCAAGGATTAAATGAGAAAATATATAAAAAATAAAGCACTGTCTGTACCAGAGATCCTGTTATTGTAAACAATGACTTATTAAGCCATAATCATATGACTTAACCATGTGATAACCATGACAGATGCAACCACTGTGATTCCCATGCAGTGGAAAGAGGGCCACTTCCTCACAGACAGCTTGTCCTGGGTCATCTCTGGCCAGATCTTAGCCAGTGTGTAGGTTTTAGGCAGATCTGTGAGTTCTGTAAACTTCAGATGTGTCTGACCTTTGTGACCTGATGGTCCTTGTATGGGAGTGGAGGGAGGCACCATGCTATTTGGTGCAGCCCTATTTGTTTGAGGTTATGGGTTGGTTTCCCTTTACAGGAGAAGAGATTTCCAAGGGGACAGGAATCTGTGGGGTGAGGGTGAAGAAGAGTTTGTTTGTTTGTTTTTTTAAGGAGAGGAGGAGCTAGATCGCAGTGGATTTGGGCCCTGTGGTCCTTGAACTGTGGCTGTGGTTGGAGAACTGTGGCATGATGAATGTAAGAAAAATGAGGAAGGCTAAACAGGTATAAATGGAAGGGAACCCCATCTTAGTTGGTGGAAAATTCAAGCCCCAAGAATGAGGGTTAGCATAGGAATGCAAAACCAACTTTGGAAGAAATATGGCCAATTGCATCATCTTTGGATTGGGGGTGTGGAAGGGAGAAGACCATGGGCAAGGGCATGGAAGGAGGGTGCAGGGTTGGGCAAACCAAGGTCTTCCCCCCTATGTCCCTGCAGGGAGGATTGTTAGGATTCTGGCAGTCAGGGGCCTGCTGGATTTGTATATTACAGCAGCTGTTGGGGGAGTCTTGTGTTTGTGTTACCTCCCTAGATTGCCCACTTAAGACCTTCAATCTCAAATTTCTCTGCTTTTTACTCTTGTTATGGGTCCATAAATTTGATTCTCAGCTTGCCACCTCTATCCAGTGGTCTGCTGCCAATGTAAGAGCTAGAAAGAGATGCTCATTATTGGCTCTTACATACCAAGGCAGTTCTAGCGTACCACTGGCCCTGATGTCAACAGGAAGCAGAGCCACTGTCTTTCCTAGGAATTCCCAGCTCCTTCCCTTTCCTCAGCTCCTCCCCTTTCCCCAGCTGTCCTGCAAGTTGACTAGTGGCCTTGATAATGTCAGGAAAGGGCTTCTTTTAGTACCCACTGGCTCTGACCCTCCTGGCTACTCTGCCCCATCAGAGGGGGGCCAGAAATGGCCACAGATAATTATTCTTGGTTGACTGGGAACAGATTTCATCAGCTTGAGGAAAACGAACAATAAAAGCAACAAAGAAATCTTTCTGTAATTTTCTGGTTCTCTCTGGTGGGGCTTCTCTGTAACATAGCAAGTTGTAAATAGCAAGTCCAGAGGATTGATGTGAAATATCAGGTCCTGATTGGGATTTGAGAGGGAAAGCAACAGAGAATGATTCAACTCCCTGGGGATATTAGGTGGAGGCAGAGATGTTTGCAAGAGTCAAGATGAGGGATCAGACTTAGAGGGCTGCTCCAGACCCTGGGAAGAAATAAGTGAAAACCAGGGCTCCCAGCCCTGGGCCTAGCGTTTTCCCTAAACTGACTGAGCCTAGGGTTTAGGCCTACAGATGAGTCTCAGACCTCATTTATGTCCTGGCTGGCACCATCTCACGGGCTCTAGGAAGTGGCAGTTATAAACTGCAAGCTAAGTCTTTCCCCGCCTTTCCCTGGAGTGGGAGCAGGAGTCAGCAAATGCTACTGTATCCTAGGACCAACATTTCCCTCTTGGGTTCAAACAGGTCCTTTGAGTTGAAGAAATAGGGAATAAAATTCTCCCGGGACTGAGGTTCACCTGAGGTATATTCATTATGCCTTTTTATCTTCTGTATTTTTTAAAAATGGGTTTAATGCAGTTATTATATGGCATTCTGGTAAGTTTGTTTTTGTTTTGGTACTGGGATTGACCACAGGGGTACTTTATCACTGAGCTGCATCCCCAGKCTATTATTATTATTATATTTTTTTATTTTGAGAGAGGGTCTCACTAAATTGCTGAAGTTGGTGGTGAATTTGTGATCCTCTTGTCCGGTCACTGGTATTATGGGTGTGCACCACCACATCTGGCCACAGTGATTTCCAGTTATTCATATATATATATAGTGTGTGTGTGTGTATAGTATAAATTGATATGATATATATATAAAACACACACATACACATATTTTCAGCAGTACTGGGGATTGAAACCAGGGTTGCTCTACCACTCAACTATATCCCCAGCCCTTTTTTAAAAAAATTTTGAGACAAACTCTCACTATGTTGTTTAGGCTGGCCTTGAACTTGCGATTCTCCTGCTTCAGCCCTGGAGAAGCTGGAATTACTGGCATTTGTGACAGTTCTTAGCTATGTTTGGTATTTTTTGATGCTTTGTTATTTGGGGGCTTGCTGACTCTGGAGACACATCCCCTCCATTGAACAAAGGACTTGCCTGCAGATGAACTTTTATATGTACACCAGTCAATCCAGAGCCTCTACCCCAACTATCTCCTTTATTGAGATCTCTCAGGGCTTTTCAGTGCTGGATTTTTATCCCCCTGCTCTATCACTCCAGGGCCAGGTACAGACAACTAGAGACAGCCCCTACGCCCTAGAGCCAACTGGAATTATTCAATCTAGCCAATCCTAAACTTGCTTATCCTGCCTCTCCTATCCCTTCCCACAGTAAAGGCTCTAGCCCAGGTTTCCTTCTGCTCCCCGAGCTTCCCGACTGATTCTGGTGCTTCCCCTTGTGGCCCCCTTGAATGCTATGCCTCCTACTTCTAGGGATCTGTAAGAATAAATTTCTGCCTTGATGATAGTTATTTCCATGTTTAAAAATCATAGCTGATTTTTAAAACACCAAGCTCATTTTTAAAACACCAAGGACTCCCTGAAGAGTTTGAGGAGGCTGATTGGACCTGTGTAGTCAGGGAGGTTGAGGCAGAGAACTAACTCACGGTGAAAGCTCAGGCCTTCACAAGTACATTGCATGTCTGTCAAGTATGGGCTTTTAACTGCCTCACATGGATTCATCTGAATTCTTCCTGCATACCCAAGAAAAGGGGACTTGGCATTCATTCACCACTTTAGCCGAGACACAAGTAAGTGTGCTTGATAGATAAGCTCCAATTCTTTAAGGAAAGTTGTTCACTGATATATCAACAGTACCTAGAACAGTGCCTAACATATGGTAGATAGTAAGTATTGAGTATCTAATAATAATATTTATAAATAAATAATAATAAATAAATATTTATTAAATTAATGAATATGGCCATTTCTGAGCTGGCTTACTGTGAATAATGGAAAGAATTAGGGCCCTGCTGAAAGGTGACATCAGCTGAGTATTCCTACAGGAGTCCACATAGCTCCAGCTCTGTTGGTTTTACAGTGCCATGTCACAGCCTCTGGGATCCTCTGCCTCCCAGACTGATGCCCTGCAACAGGTGATTTTGTGGTGATCCCTTATACAGTTAAATATTCCTCTCTCTTCTTTTGAGTTCTGAACTCCAGCCTAGATTCTTCTTTTCTTTCTTTATGTCTGGTTGTTCACAGGTAGGTCTTTCCTGCTCATTTTTTCAGAGTGAAAGAATGAAAGTGTCCCTGGGAGATATAACATCCCTTTCCAAGCATAAATGCCCTAAATTTTAATAGTTGCCTTAAATAGTAATAGTACTAATGATGATGATGATGTCCTAAAATATTATAACTTGTTAAATATGGCACAAGCATTGGGCTAAACACTATAAACACTAAACTCAACCTTAGAAAGACTGGCATAATTAACTACACTTTTCAGTCAGAGAAATTGAGGCTTAGAGGAGAAGTTACTTGCTCA